GATGTTGACGCCAGAAGAGCAGGAATTACTGGGAGTGGCAATGGTAACTCGGCTGAGGCTGGCACTCGTACATACTCGGGACTGGTCTGACTCCAATACTAGTCGATCGGAACCGAAGCGACGCCGCGGGAGCACTGGCGCACCGCTATCCGTGCCTTCGTGGCCGGGCTCAGACGAAGCCACCCGAGTATGGGGAGGCCCCGTCCCGGAGGTCATTGGTACCTCGAGCCTGGCTTCGGGAGACGCACCGATGCTAACCCTCGACGAGAACATGTCGTCCGCGGGAGGAGGCTCCCAGGGATCCCCGGTTTGGAGCCGTCCGCAGCGATGGTCGGCGTGTATATGGCCACCACCGGTACGGGAACAGGGCATCCATATACTACGGAACAACCGACCTTCTACGTTCCGGTCGCCGAGTACCCGCCAGGTCAAAACGCAAGGCTCCCTCCTCACGAGCTGCTGCCGGCGGCCTCGCCGGTCCGGGGCGATGGTCCTGGCAGTTCGGAAGAAGAGACCAAATCGGATGCTCCCATGACGGCCCGTGACCCTCATCTCCCTGGAAACAGCCGGGATCGGGACCAGGATCTGCGGGAAGCAGACCGCCAAATATTAGAACTCTGTGCCGCATTGGCAACTCGGGACGAATTGGAGCAGATCCGGCACGAGACATACCGTGCCGCCCGAACCGGCCAAGCCCACCAGGCCAAACTCTATCAGGAGGCATGGGAGTACCGGAAGGCGGAGGTCGCACGGGAAACGGAACGGAGGAAGGCCTCAGACCAGAACTTCGCGTCTCTTCAAGCTAAGGTATATTTACTTGAGAATGAAAGGGCACAGAATCGGGAGGAAGGTACCCAGCTCCGGGCTGAAACAGCCAGCCGAATGGAGGATGTAACCGAGAAGTGCGGTCAACCAGTTTCCAAAGTGACGGCAGCCACAGACGAGACGAAGCTCCAAGCCGATGAAGAGTTGTCTCGGATCAGACGCGAAATGGAGCACCAGGTTCAGGAAAGCCGGCCCCAGCGGCCCGGAAGGTTGACCCCCAGGAGGTTCAGTTAGAGGAACTCCTGATGTATCGAGAGCAGGCCGCTGCGGGGCACTCACGACGCCAACCGCGGGAGCGTGTGTCCTCCCCGCGCTCGATCAGGAGTGGTCGGGCGAGAGGTGATCGACGGCCCCGGCATCGCGACGGCAGTTCGCGGGGAAGCCAGTCGACGAGTATGCCGGCGAATGGGGGCGGAGCGCTCATGGAAAGGTTGCCAGAAATGGTGGCTAACGAGGCGACGACATGAACCCAGCCAGCTCACGCCCCGTCCACCTCTCGCCTGGTAAGCGGTCCGGCTTTCGCATTCAGTGCCGCGGGGGAAGTCCCTGACCCTCCAAGATCAACCCGGAACCTGGCCGCCGGAGGTTTCAATTTTGGACCTAGTTCACCTCCAGGGCAACCCCAACAGCCACCTATGAGCTGATCCTGGGGAACCCATTCTTCGGGCATGCAGACCTGTTCTGAAGCGCGCAGAGGCACGGGGCGAGAACCCAGCCATATAGCCAGGGGTCGGCCCCCGGACTTTTTACGGCCCTTCCATGGTCGGCCCCTGGCGACACCCCTGGAGTGCCAACCGCGGACAGGTTCGGATTGCCCAGTACTATACCGACCTGGAACAACAGCTTCGAGAGCGTAGAAGCATCCGCATCCCGACCCGGTGACTCCCATTCTTGGGGATCCGGAGGCCCGGGAACCTTTGGATTCCCAGCGGCCGAAGGTTACGTCCCCGGATACGGTGTGAGTTTCCGACCTTTCATCGCCTACGACGCGGTAGAACCTTTCGATACTCAATCTCCTTGGATAAACGTCGCACGTGGTGGGACAAGGTCCATTACACGGCCAGCAGTGGAGGTTGGCGGGAGTAAGAGTTGTGCACCCGACTTTACAGTCGGCTTTCGCACAACCCGGGTACAAAGGCTTGGGTGCCACAGCTCCCGGAGTCGGTCCGCTGGAGCTGGAATCAGCTCTCGGCTCTCGGACCGGTTCTACAAGGGATTCTGTCGGTCCACAGAGTCTCCGGTCGAGCGATACCTGTGTTTAAAACAGGAGTCCCGGGAAACGCCGCGGACTTTCCTGTGGAAACTAAACGCGGCAGCTACCAAGGCCAATGTGGATTTCCACTCCGCCTCCGGGTGCCACCGCCACGTTAATCAATTCCTGAAGAACCTCCGCGACCGAGAACTCCAGTTAAGCCTCCAAGGCCGGGTGTACTTCACCACGGACGAGCTAGAGGACGTCCTCAAACAAGTCGAGGAAATGGAACAGGGCATGCGTAGAAAGCCTGTTAATGATGTGCAGTTTGGGCGTCACAAGCCCCAAGGTGTGGGCGCAGGCGTCGCTACCCGAGGGGAAGGCGGGGATTACGCGGCTCTAGTGACTCCCTAGGTCCTGGAACACCAGACCCCAGACCCCAGACACCGAAGGTTTGAGGTGGGAAGACGAAGACGACTCGGGGTACGGATACCAGTATGATGCGGAAAATGACGAGGCCTACGACGGTCTGGTCGACCAGGAAAAGGTATTCCGCGCAGAGGCCCTGGTGTTGTGGAACGAGAGAAACGGGCGCTCCCCAAGTCGACCCGACCCTAGAGGAGGAGGCCCTCCCGGGGCTCCCAGGTCCTCCACTCCGTGCCCAGTGTGTAACAAGCTGGGGCACACTCGGGAGCGTTGTTGGCAACAGATGAAGTGCGACCGGTGCGGGGGAAACACCCCACCAACCAGTGTAGGCGTCGGGAGTGCGAAGCATGTTGCCAGTTGCACCCAGCCGGAGAATGTGCAGTCATCAAGGCCTTCAAGGAGGCAGCCCAGCGAGGACAGCTCCAGGGGCTTCCGGAGGAGGTGTTGCAGAGGTTGCGCCCGGAGGCAACTCCGGCGTTAAACTATTAGGCTCGCTGGGTAGGGACCCAGTACGAGCCGAACCTAAGCCCCGTCGGATCTGCTACGCCCATGCGTATGTAGGGCTTAACGAACCTCAATGTATGTCAATTGCATCAAGAACCGCTTCCGAGCCCCGTTCGGTCTATACCAGTCATGTTTCCCCGGAAAAAGACGAACTTTCGTTCGAACTCCAACCCGGGGAGCGCCGAGGCTGGTGGGAAGCAAACTCCTGGGACGACAGCGCCTGCTCAGTGGCCTTCGTCCACGGTTCTGTATTCCACCATCGTACTCTGCTCATGCTCGACTCTGGACCTTCCGCCAGCATTATCAGCCTAAACCTAGCGCGTAGGCTAAAGCTGAGGGTGGAACTCAGGGGCGAATTACTGCTTAATGGGATCGACGAATCAAAACCAACGTCACGAGCAAGTGCCGAGTCAAAATAACGCTCGGGCACCGGGTGGTGTACACTCTAGATGTCTGGGTCGGGAACATTGGCCAAGGCATCGACGTCCTCCTGGGGATGAACTTCATGGTCGCCGCCGGAGTCCAGTTGTGTGCCCACGAAGGGGAAGTAGTGCTCCCAGACGAGGAGCGGATACTTCTCGTCGGGGGACCCAAGCGCTCGCACCTGGGGTGGACCATCGACGTGTCCATCCACGAGAGTCTCTGGTTAGCCCCCGGAGACAGCAAGTATATATCCATCGGGACCTCGGAGCCGGACCTCGGGTCTATGGACGTGTGCGTCAGTCGGGGGGACCGTTGGGTGACTTTAGTGGTATTTAGCACGAAGCGAGTCCCAGTCGCCATCCAGGTGGTGAACATCTCCCGAAAGCCGGCCTAAGTACTCCCGCATACCAAGGTTGCCACGCTTACAAATCGGGATCGATTGACGTTGGGGACCACCTTCGTACGCCCCGGGTCCTACCAATATGACGAACGGGAATTTATAGTCTATGAAAATACCCGCTCCCCTGCGGCGGAACGTCGCCTGGACGCGGAAGCCCGGGAACGCGAACGGACTGCACCTCCCATGGTAGACCGGCCGACACCCGTGTCCTCCAGCGAACCCCGGTCAGCGATCTCGAAGTCCCCGCAGTCTACCGAGTATCTCCGTCTCCGGACTCGTCGAGGGACGAGGGGTCCGGGAACCCAAACCCGGACACCCAACATGTAGACGACACTAGGCCCGAGGCCCTTCCGACCGCTCCTACCCCATTGCCTGGCAGCGACCGCGTCGTGACCATGCCAGCTGCAGTTCCGTACCCGGAGGACCCCAGTTCCCCAACTGCGAGGAATGGACCCCTCGAATCCTGAAGCTCAAGTCTCCTCAGAGGACGAGTCTGTTGCGCGACCCACGGTATTTCAGGAATCAGTCCCGGCTCCCCCCGACCCCATGTCCATGGACGCACAAGTCGCACCAGCCCGGTCGTTCGTGATGGTAGCCGTGGCTGGGGAAAGCCTCAATGCAGACCCCACCGGCTATTATCACCAAGGTTCCGATTTCGTGCTCTTGGACATGCTCAAGAACCAGCTGGCATATCTCCCCAATCTCAGCGACCTCCGGCCCGATGCAAACATCGAAGACGCAATCGTCGATGAGCCCGGGGAATCGGACCCCGCGGATGAAGAGAGGCTCCGGGCCATTCTCAGGGAACACCGCATGATTTTTTGGGAGAAGGGAATGCACTTTCCCCCCCCGCCCGAGGCGTCGTGTGCGACTTGGACGTCGGGGACGAAAAACCTATTTCCATGCGGTCCCGGAGAATCCCCGCTGATTTACTATCCAAGGTGTATGAGCTGCTCAAACGTCTCCTGGAAACGGGTCTGATCGAGTACTCCAACTCAGAATGGGCGTCGGCCATCGTCCTCGTGATGAAGACGAACGGCACCGACGTCGGCTTATGCATCGACTACCGGTTGGTGAACCAACTGATTAAGTTGATGAACTACCCCTACCCCTAATCGGCGAGCTTATGAGCAATTTCGCCGCCACCATGTGGTTCATGATCCTAGACATGGCGAGTGGATTCTGGGCAGTCCCGATGACGGCCCGTGCCCAGCTGATCTCGGCATTCATTTGCCCGCTCGGACATTTCCAGTGGA